CCAGCAAAAACAGTAAACATTTGTAATCCATACTAAAATTTTGTATGTACTGATTTATTTTACTTTACAATCGGAGCTCCCTTTTTAAAAAAAAATAAAGTTTAACGCTGGAGCTCAATACTTGACGTAACTGGTCGAAGCAATGGAATTATAGACTTATGCTGATGAAGACTGACATCTAATGGTCAACTGGAGCAGCTGCAGCTACATGGAAAACATCCTGATGCATCTCAAAAATCAAAAAGAAAAAATAAGTAGGTCCTCTGGATGGGTTCTTCTTTAGTGAAACGTTTCGTCTCTCCTCCAAGTGACTTCTTCAGTCTGATGAGTTTCAGGTGAACTGGGAAACTTTAAAATCCAATGGAAACATGAAAAACTTTAAAAATCAAGCTCTTATTTTGAAGGGAAAAACGTAAGGTTATGAATATAACCATGGTTCCTTGAAGGAATGGAACGAAGTACAACACACAGTTGTATATGGGACACGCGCGCCCTCGCACGTCTGGCTGAAGCCACCTCTAATCATGTCTTTAGACCGGTGACGTGGTGACGTTGAACGTCTGGTGACAGGCTCCGCCTTCACCCTATAAGTTCGGAGTCACCAGCGTCATTACTCAGTTAGATACCGCCCTTCAACGAGCCTTTGTGATGCGGGGCCAACAAGGTGTTGTACTTCGTTCCATTCCTTCAAGGAACCGTGGTCATATTCAAGTCAAGAATTAGCTTCTGCTAATATTTCTATGCAATAAGTGGGTTTGAAGTTGCGGACCTAAATATTTTCATAAGCACTTTAGAAATTGTGGAGCTAATTTTTGAATTAGTGCTGCCCACCACTGGTTAGAGGAAACCAAAGCACACAAAACAAAACTCACATGTGAACAAAGAGAACATTCAAATTCCACACAAAAATGCCTAGGGTCAGTACACGATCCTGCAACATTCTCTGTATGAGGTAACAGCTCAAGTTAACTTTCATCTCCATCTTCTGCTGCTTATCCATATCAGGTCATGGAGTCAAAAAGGTCCAGGAGAGAAACCCAGATAACCGTCTCCCCTGTAGGGGTCACCTCGAGTGAAGAAACAAGATTTACTGCCTCGAAGCAGGCCTCGGACAGGCCTGACGAGAGGACAGGAACTCTGTCACAAAATGAACTCTATTTAGACCATGACAGGTCATCCTAACCGAAGAAGAGAACCCCTCAGTTCTCTTAATCAGATAATAGACAGAACAATCTCTTCTGTTTGTGATTCATTTGTTGTTTAACTAAGAATGTTTATACATTTGTTTGTAGGGATATGCTGTTGTCGATGTTATGGACGATGCTATATCATAAATACCTCGTAATTATTAGCATAACAAAGGGCACCACCTGATTATTTCAGGAAATAATTCATTGATTTTAAATCAGTCTCAGATACTGAGTTGTGAATTCTATCATTTTCAAGACATAACCAAGAAATGACGCACAGAC